TTAATTTCTATATTGTGAACATTTGGCCCTTTCTACTGAACACTGGATTAGGGAAATACTTGTATCTACAGTTGTGGCCAAAATTATTCAACCCCCAATGCTGTAAAGGGGTTTAGGGACTATAGTGTACATTTGGAATTGTATTCAGAATCAAATCCTACAAGGACGTTGTAACTACCCAAATGCAACTAAAATGACATCAATTGTTTATGTAATACAGTAGTAAATGGTTCTTATGTGGTTTCTTCATTGCCACAATTATTCAACCCCTTAAAGACTACCACTCTGAAGAACAGAGGTTCATACAGGTGCTTTCCATCAGGTATTGAAAACACCTGTGGATGTCACCGAGCAGCAATCAAGCATAATAAGCACCAATTAGGCAGCTTTAAAATGACTGTGATACTCAGCTCCTTCTAGACATTTACTGGTGTGGTTACAAACATGGTGAAGGCAAGAGAATGGTCCAGGAAGACAAGAGAAGAGGTGATTTCTCTTCACAGGAAGGGCAATGGCTATAAGAAGATTGCAAAGATGTTAAACATACCAAGAGACACCTTAGGAAGCATCATTCGCAAATTCAAGGCAAAGGGCACTGTTGAAACGCTACCTGGTCGTGGCAGAAAGAAGATGCTGACTTCGACTGCTGTGCGCTACCTGAAGCGTAGAGTGGAGAGAAGTCCCCGTGTGACTGCTGAGGAACTGAGAAAAGATTTGTCAGATGTGGGTACAGAAGTTTCAGCCCAGACAATAAGACGCACACTGCGTAATGAAGGCCTCCGTGCCAGAACTCCCAGGCGTACCCCCTTGCTGTCTCCAAAGAATAAGAAGAGTCGACTGCAGTATGCCAAAAGCCATGTGGACAAACCACAAAAGTTGTGGGATAGTGTTCTGTGGACTGATGAAACAAAATTAGAACTGTTTGGGCCCATGGATCAACGCTATGTTTGGAGGAGGAAGAACAAGGCCTATGATGAAAAGAACACCTTGCCTACTGTGAAGCATGGTGGAGGGTCAATCATGCTTTGGGGCTGTTTTGCTTCTGCAGGTACAGGGAAGCTTCAGCGTGTGCAAGGTACCATGAATTCTCTTCAGTACCAGGAGATATTGGATGGAAACGTGATGCAGTCCGTCACACACCTGAGGCTTGGGAGACGTTGGACCTTTCAACAGGACAATGATCCCAAGCATACCTCCAAGTCCACTAGAGCATGGTTGCAGAGGAAAGGCTGGAACATTTTGGAGTGGCCATCGCAGTCACCAGACTTAAATCCGATTGAGAACCTCTGGTGGGACTTAAAGAAAGCAGTTGCAGTGCGCAAGCCTAAGAATGTGACTGAACTGGAGGCCTTTGCCCATGAAGAATGGGCGAAGATACCCGTAGATCGCTGCAAGACACTTGTGTCAAGCTATGCTTCACGTTTAAAAGCTGTTATAACTGTAAAAGGATGCTGTACTAAGTACTAAGATTGAATGTCACTTGGGGGTTGAATAAAACTGATAATGCTGTGAGCACAGAAAAGACATTTGTGGTTATTTCATTATAACTGTTATGTTATATTTGTCTGACCTACAAGTGCCTCTTTAATGTAAATGTAAGCAAGATGACTGAATGATCAAAAGCAATGTCAAACTGGCCAAAACACTCAATTTCAGTGGGGGTTGAATAATTTTGGCCACAACTGTATATTTTAATGTCACAACTACAATTCTTTGATCTAGGACTTAGCAGATAATGAACTCCTGCCATCTGATCTGTAATGTTATAACAGAGGGGTCTAGGAGGTATTTCTAAGTTGGCATTACCTTTCAGTAATCATAATGAAGTTGTGTTTCCTGCAGTGCAGGTCTGTCCTATGGAATACCTCTAATGTGGGTGGTAAAGAGAACTTGTACTCAGTGTCAAGTTTAATACCTGATCTATGGAGCTCCATAATTTCTACTGGGTGAAAATATTTGGTATTTCCCCAATAAGATAGATCACTGAATGTCTAAAAAAAATCTTTTGTAAGTAAACTCTTTTTGATATTAACGATGGGGCACTATTTCTCCCATTGAAACCAATGATGGAGCACTATTTCTTCCATTGATACCAAGGATGGGGCTCTTTTCCTCCCATTGATATTAACAATGGGGCACTACTTCTCCCATTGATACCAATGATGGGACACTATTCCTCCCATTGATACTAATGATGGGGCACTATTTCTCCCATTGATACCAATGATGGGGCACAATTCATCCCAGTGGTACTAACGATGGGGCACAATTCATCCCAGTGGTAATAACAATGGGGCACTATTTTCTCCCATTGATACCAATGATGGGGCAGTATTCCTCCCATTGATACTAATGATGGGGCACTATTTCTCCCATTGATACCAGTGATGGGGCACTATTCCTCCCATTGAACCAATGATGGGGCACTATTCCTCCCATTGACACCAATGATGGGCACTATTCCTCCCATTGACACCAATGATGGGGCACTATTTCTCTTATTGAAACCAGAGATGGGGCACTATTCCTAACTGATACCAACAATGGGGCAATATTCCTTTCATTGATATTAAGGATGGGGCACTATTCCTCCCATTGATATTAACGATGGGGCACTACTTCTCCCATTGATACCAATGATGGGGCACAATTCATCCCAGTGGTACTAACGATGGGGCACTATTTTCTCCCATTGATACCAATGATGGGGCAGTATTCCTCCCATTGATACTAATGATGGGGGCACTATTTCTCCCATTGATACCAATGATGGGGCACTATTCCTCCCATTGACACCAATGATGGGGCACTATTTCTCTTATTGAAACCAGAGATGGGGCACTATTCCCCACTGATACCAATGATGGAGCACTATTCCTTTCATTGATACTAATGATAGGGCACTATTTCTCCCATTGATACCAATGATGGGGCACTATTCCTCCCATTGATACCAATGATGGGGCACTATTTCTCCCATTGATACCAATGATGGGGGACTTTTCCTCCCATTGATACCAATGATTGGGGACTTTTCCTCCCATTGATACTAACAATGAGGAACTATTACTCCCCCTAATACCAATAATGGGGCACTGTTCCTCCCCCTAATACCAATGATGGGGCATTGTTTACTCCCACTGAAGCCAAGACATTTTCTTCTTCCACTGGTCACAGTCCGGCCCCTCTAAAATTTGAAGGACAGTAAACCGGCCCTTTGTTTAGAAAGTATGGAGACCCCTGTGTTAGAATAATATTCATACAGTAGGCATTTTGGATAACCAGCTGTTACTTAAACCAACAGACATGAATCAACAGAGCCATAAACCCACAGATGATCCAGAGGAAGGTGAAAACCCCTTATAAAATGAGGTACTGTCAGGAATGGACTCGCCACTGGTGGTGGGACTCACCTGCCTTGTGGGCTGCAGTACCAGTTCTGGCCAGCGGGTGCTCTCAGCGGCCAGAATCTCACTCCTGCAATCAAGCCATCACCTGAGGCTGATTGCAGGAGGTGTATTTAAGCAATGGCCAGGCCTGCAGTCAGTGCCTTGTTCTTGTTTCCCATGAGCCCCTGTACCTGGTATCCTGTGTTCCTGCCTGGCTGCCTATCTGATTTGTTGCTGACCCTGCTTTGATCCTGACCTCTGCTGACTTCTCCTGCCCTGATCCCTGGTCTGTCTGACTTCTCTTGGATATCCTCATTGGATCTGATCTCCTGTTACTGACCAGGCGAGTGACCCGACTATTCTGTGCCTGCTGCCTTGTACCGCGCTGTCCCCACCAGTACTGACCCAGCCTGTCTGACTACGCTTCTGCTCAGCCATCCATCCATCCATCCATCCTGCACGGACCCATCCGCCTCTTCACGTCAGGCTCTCCTCCAGAAATATACCTCTGGCGGATCCCTCTACCACGGGTGGGTGTACTCAGGGGCCGCGACCTGGTCTCTGTCTGCTCCAAGTCCATCCCCACCATCAGGGGCCCTGGTGAACAAGCAGACTGGGACTTAGACTCCGCACTCTGGGGAATCCTATTCCATGGGTTGCTAGAGGTACCGCCAGACGGTGCATTACAGACCCATACGGCCTGCCTGACCATTCCACCTCTCCAGCCTTGACCACGCCTGTGTTCCCACACATTTCTGGTCATACCCGGATCCGTGACATAACACCAAGGCCAGTCCTGACCAGAAGTGGCTGCACAGGGAAGCCATCTTGGCTTGTTGTGGTGAAGGATGCATCTGGAGAAAGTTGTGTACTTGTTGCTGTTAGTCTTAGATGACAGAGAATATGGCAATCAGATTCTGAATGAGTATACCAGGGATCAGCTGCTAGAATGCATACAAGTTGCTCAATCACTAGTAGATCAGGGCACAGAGTTTTCTGAGGTGCAGCCATTGATCCAGGTTTGTGCTGAGTTGGCTCTGTCCTGTACCCCTGAAAGCAGGAATGACTTTTTTCCACCATTTAGTGCAGATCAAGTGGAATCACTGGTATGGTTGTTGGAGGATGATCCAGATTGCTTCCTTGAGCATTATGCAGCTTGTCCATCACATGTGCTTGTGGATTGCATAAACGCAGTGCAGGTCAGACAGGCTACGTATAAGCTAAGCTTTGTTCAACCAGTATTACAGACATGGTCAGATTTGTTACACCCAGCCTCAGTCAGCTTGCCAAAACCCAGTCCTGCTTCTAATCTATTTTTTCAAAGCTCTATTCCTGCATTCCCGACAGCACCTCCAGTTCCAGCCCAGTATACCCTGCCATCAATCACATGCCAGTACCCTGTTCCCACTCACTGCACCTATCCTGCCTTTAACCCTGTAAAGAAGTCCTCTGTAGCAACTGCTCCCTCCTCTGTTCCATCCTCCAGCTCTTCTGTCTTCAGCTGCTCCATCCGTTTATAGACCTGCATTTACTTACAGTGCTTCAGTAACTAAACCTAAGAAGAAGCGAAAATTCTTTCCAACCAGTACCATCTTGCCAGTATCCAAATCAGTCAGCCTGCTGTCTGAGAAACCGCTTTCTGTTACCCAGCCTGATGACCCTACCCAGCCTGATGACCCGATCCAGCCTGATGACCCGATCCAGCCTGATGACCCGGTGTTCGTGATCCAGCCTGATGACCCGATCCAGCCTGATGACCCGATCCAGCCTGATGACCCGGTGCCCGTGGTCCAGCTTGGCGCCCCGGTGCCCATGCTCCAGCCTGATGCCCGGAGCCCGCTGTCGAGCTTGGTGACTCGGTGCCCGCTGTCGTGCCAGATGACTCGGTGCCCACTGTTCTGCCAGATGACTCGGTGCCCGCTGTCGAGCCAGATGACTCGGTGCCCGCTGTCGTGCCAGATGACTTGGTGCCCGCTGCCCAGCCTGATGTTCCGGTGCCCATTGCCCAGCCTGATGTTCCGCTGCCCAGCCTGATGTTCCGGTGCCCGCTGCCCAGCCTGATGTTCCGGTGCCCGCTGCCCAGCTTGATGGCCCGCTGCCCAGCCTGATGACCCGGTGCCCACTGCCCAGCCTGTTGTCCCTCTGTCCGCTGCCCAGCCTGTTGTCCCTCTGTCCGCTGCCCAGCCTGACGTGCCTCTGTCCGCTGCCCAGCCTGACGTGCCTCTGTCCGCTGCCCAGCCTGACGTGCCTCTGTCCGCTGCCCAGCCTGACGTGCCTCTGTCCGCTGCCCAGCCTGACGTGCCAGCTCCGGATGCCCAGCCTGCTTCTGGAAATCCTGTGTCCAGCAACCTGCCTTCCTGTGGTCTCCTGCAAAAAAATAGGCTTATCAGCAGGAGACCCAGCCAGTCGCTTGATTCCGGCAGTGGGATGTTCAGCCAGTTACTGGACCCAGGCGTTGGAACATTTGTGCCAGTATGGACTGTTTGGAGCGTCCTGAGGCTGTTCCTTGAGGGGGGGGGGGTACTGTCAGGAAGGGACTTGCCCCTGGTGGTGGGACTCACCTGCCTTGTGGGCTGCAGTACCAGTGCTGGCCAGCGGGTGCTCTCAGCATCCAGAACCTCACTCCTGCAATCAAGCCATCACCTGAGGCTGATTGCAGGAGGTGTATTTAAGCAATGGCCAGGCCTGCAGTCAGTGCCTTGTTCTTGTTTCCCATGAGCCCCTGTACCTGGTATCCTGTGTTCCTGCCTGGCTGCCTATCTGATTTGTTGCTGACCCTGCTTTGATCCTGACCTCTGCTGACTTCTCCTGCCCTGATCCCTGGCCTGTCTGACTTCTCTTGGATACCCTCATTGGATCTGATCTCCTGTTACTGACCTGGCGAGTGACCCGACTATTCTGTGCCTGCTGCCTTGTACCGCGCTGTCCCCACCGTTACTGACCCGGCCTGTCTGACTACGCTTCTGCTCAGCCATCCATCCATCCTGCACGGACCCATCTGCCTCTTCACGTCAGGCTCTCCTCCAGAATATACCTCTGGCGGATCCCTCTACCACGGGTGGGTGTACTCAGGGGCCGCGACCTGGTCTCTGTCTGCTCCAAGTCCATCCCCACCATCAGGGGCCCTGGTGAACAAGCAGACTGGGACTTAGACTCCGCACTCTGGGGAATCCTATTCCATGGGTTGCTAGAGGTACTGCCAGACGGTGCATTACAGACCCATATGGCCTGCCTGACCATTCCATCTCTCCAGCCCTGACCACGCCTGTGTTCCCACACATTTCTGGTCAGACACGGATCCATACTACAAATGGAAAAAATATCCTTTCTGACCCCCTAAGGTGATCAGGCTTTTCCTGAATCCACAATCAGCAGTGCATACAGTAAGCATTGTGTTTACCAACCTACTGTTACATAATAAATTGGTTTGAGAAAAAAAAACATATGTCCACTATGTTCATACAACAGACATGAATCCACAGAACCCTAAAACCACAGATGATCCAGAGGAAGGTGAAAAATCATGATAAAGTGTGATACCATTTGCTGCAACAGTGAAAAAAGTCTATCGTGACCTCAGGTGATTGGATACTTCCCTTGATCCACAATAAATGGTGTTATAGTAATATTGTTCAATTGCAAAGTAACAATATATGTGGAAAGTTTTTCAGTTTCAAAGCGTATGATAAGCTTGTCAGTTTCTCTGTAGAACAGGGTACAATGTATTTGGGGGTTTCTATTAAAAAAAACTTGTCTGTAGAACAGGGTACAATACACCTGGTGGTTTCTATCCAAGGATTCTTTTAGTAGAAAAGGGTACAATATGTGGTTTCTACCTGTAGCCAAGTGCTTGGCTAAGAATAAAGAATGAGAGAGGTGCTGGGTACAGCTGCTTTCTGTGTCTGCTGAACTGCAGTACTGAACTGGTTAACAGCTACAGTATATTGGCAAGAGGAGGGCGATACTAAGCAGGAAGAGTTCAATAGACTCAGGCAGCACTGCACTGTGGGAACGGTGGTCCAGAGGAGAGAGACTTTACTGTAATCAATCACTTTCAAATTGCATTTTCCACAGAGAGATTGCCATTTGGTGGGGAAAGAGCTGCATTTTCTTAGGCTGTACAGGACACAGCTTTCTTTTTGCCATGAGGGAGACCGGAGACTACACATCACTGTCCAGCGTGCACCACCACTGCTGCATCCCTAAGCAGGATTTGGAGTCCTGAGTTCAGGGGTGCCGACAGAGAGAGTCACGTTAGTGCAGAGCAAACGGTGGACTCATCGCCGTGTGTGACCGAATGGTGAGCTGCAATATCGCTGGGACTGGTGAGTTGCTGCTGTGGGGATTTACTATCTGCTGCTAGAGAGTCTGAGCCCTTTAGGAACTGACCATACAGTTATCTAGTAGTCTTATTGCTGCCTGCAGGCTTGACCGGGACTATTCTTATGTGCACCAATGGTACAATTGTGTCCCAACACTAGCCAGTTAAAGAGTTAGGACTAAAGACTGCCCCTTTACAGCTGCTACACAAAGACCTTTACCTATTGTAAATGCTGAGAGGTACTTCTCAAGGGACATTGCACCATATCATAGCCATCCTTCTAGAGTTCACTCTAGACTAGCTATAGTAATACTTATTCACATTGCAGTTAATGCTTACAGTGCCTTGAAAAAAAAGTATTCATACCCCTTGACATTTTAAGCATTTTGCATGGTACAACCAAAAATTTAAATGTTTTATTGGGATTTTATGTGATAGGCCAACACAAAGTGGCACATCATTGTGAAGTGGAAGGAAAATGATAAATGGGTTTTCAAATTTTTTACAAATAAATAATTTGAAAAGTGTGGCGTGCATTTGTATTCAGCCCCCTTTACTCTGATACCCCTAACTAAAATCTAATGGAACCAACTGCTTTCAGAAGTCACCTATTAGTAGATAGAGTCCACCGGGTGTAGTTTACGCTCAGTATAAATACAGCTGTTCTGTGAAGCCCTCAGAGGTTTGTTAGAGAACATTAGTGAACAAACAGCATCACGAAGGCCAACAAACACACCAGACAGGTCAGGGATAAAGTTGTGGAGAAGTTTAAAGCAGGGTTAGGTTATGAAAAAAAAAAATACCCTAAGCTTTGAACATCTCATGGAGCACTGTTCAATCCATCATCTGAAAATGGAAAGAGTATAGCACAACTGAAAACCTACCAAGACATGGCCGTCCACCTAAACTGACAGGCTGGGTAAGGAGAGCATTATCAGAGAAGCAGCCAAGAGGCCCATGGTAACTCTGGAGGAGCTGCAGAGATCCACAGCTCAGGTGGGAGAATCTGTCCACAAGATAACTATTAGTCGTGCACTCCACAAATCTGGCCTTTATGGAAGAGTGGCAAGAAGAAAGCCATTGTTGAAAAAAAAGCCATAAGAAGTCCCGTTTGCAGTTTGCCAGAAGCCATGTGGGGGACACAGCAAACATGTGGAAGAAGGTGCTCTGGTCAGATAAGACCAAAATTGAGCTTTTTGGCCCAAAAGCAAAGCACTATGTGTGGCGGAAAACTAACACTGCACATCACCCTGAACACATCATGACCACCGTGAAACATGGTGGTGGCAGCAGCATCATGTTGTGGGGATGCTTTTCTGCAGCAGGGACAGGGAAGTTGGCCAGAGTTGATGAGAAGATGAATGAAGCCAAATACAGGGCAATATTAGAAGAAAACCTGTTAGAGTCAGCAAAAACTTGAGTCTGGAGCGGAGGTTCACCTTCCAGCTGGACAACGACCCTAAACAAACAGCCCGAGCTACACTGGAATGATTTAGATCAAAGCAAATTCATATGTTAGAATGGCCCAGTCAAAGTCCAGACGTTCAGCCAACTGAGAATCTGTGAAAAGACATAAAAATTTCTGTTCACAGACACTTTCTATCCAATCTGACAGAGCTTGAGCTATTTTGCAAAGAAGAATTTGCAAACATTTCACTCTCCAGATGTGCCGAGCTGGTAGAGACATACCCAAAATGACTTGCAGCTCTAATTACAGCAAAAGTTGGTTCTACAAAGAATTGACTCAGGGGGGCTCAATACAAAAGCACGCCATACTTTTCAGATATTTATTTGTAAAAAATTTGAAAACCATTTATCACTTTCCTTCCAGTTTACAATTATGTGCCACTTTGTGTTGGTCTATCACATAAAATCGCAATAAATACATTTACGTTTTTGGTTGTAACATGACAAAATGTGGAAAATTTCAAGGGATATTAATACTTTTTCAAGGCAATTTTGCTGACTCTGCTGATTTAAGTGTTAATTCCATAGTGATTATACTGGCTAGCAGACTGTGTCTGAACCTACCTTATGTATGCTCATTTACGCTCAAACCACCATTTACTCTAACCCACACCAATAAATTGAGTTAATTTACTACCAAATGGTCTTGTGTCTATTTCCTGACACTAATTCCCAGTTGAGTTATAGGTATCCACACCTGTCCTCTTATAAGTGCATGCAGTAACGTTCAGGCCATCAGGTGTGCCAGAGGGTCTGAAGTTGTTCTTAGGCCCCCTTCACATGGGCAAAAATGATAGGTTACACCAGTCTACCTCCGGGTCCAATTTGGTCAGCTAAAAAACAAACAAAAAAAGTCAGAAGATCTGTCCTTTTTCATTTTGGCAGATCGGATCAGAGGAGTGTAAAACAGACAGTGGAGTCTGTTTACTCCCGTCCACCCATAGAGCAGAGTGGGCTCTGTCCATGTCCACTCTGCAGAAACTGATGTGTGTGTCATCCACCCAATCTGCTCTGATCAGCAGGGGATCTGTGAGATGATCCCCTGTTGATTGGAATGGAATCTACCCCGTGTGAAAGGGGCCTTAGAGTCGAAGCGCAGGACAGAAAACCCAAATTACCAAGTCGTTCCTTGGGGGGTATCGCTACCTACCAAAAGAATAATTCTGCAGAACAGGGTACAATATGCTTGGTGGTTTCTATTAAAAGAATGTCTCTGTGGCATAATATACTTGGTTGTTTATATCAAAAGGCTGTTTCTGTAGAACAGGGTGCAAT